GCCCGTATAACTTGGCTATGGATTGAAAATGCGCATTCTTCCCGTACACACGTGTAACTGCTGGCTGTGGCCACGTAATTCGGACGCGACCATTGTTTAAACGGTGACCTTGGGTCAACACTTCCGCTTGCGCACGAGACGTGCGCACGGTATGTGTGTGCGATATCATGGCGGTAATCTATGTACCCACAATTCTCTGCGAATTCGGCGTTTCCTTCCGAATTTGCTCGTAAGAGATAGTTAACGGCAACTGGTGCTTTTGGATAAGACGGTATGAGTGCGTAAGAAATGCATTTAGCTTTCAAACACGCATGCTCAAGAAAGTTCCGTTCGTAAACACCACCACCGTGCGTGCAATGGTACGATTACACATTCATCACTGTGGCAACTACAGCTCATTACACCTGCAAGTGCAACCGGTTCACGATGTCGGTGATAATGACTCCGTCATGATCTCACCTCATTCGTGATTGCAGGGTAACGAATCACAGGGAAGAGTTAACGAAATGGACCGCGACTGTAGTCGGTATGTTCTCTAATCTGTTCAGGCATGGAGCCGTGAACATATGCCGCCGTCTCGTCATTGCCCACTGTCCTGGTATCGATCTACTTTAAAGGGCCATGAAGTTAATTTTTCATAGGAACATAATTTTGTGCAACTTTCTACTCCTCTCAAATGTATGAACAATATTTGACATCCCATTTTGGTTCATTTTATTTAAAAGTGCACTTATTTAGACATTTAAAATTGTCCATGCTTTTCCGGACAACCGAGAGCGCTGTTGCTGTGATAGCAAGCTTGTAATTTCTGGCTTTACAATAGAGGACAAACACACAAGAACAAAAGCTCCTTTCAGTCCTCGAGCGTTGGGTCTTTTGATGAAAACGTCCTCGATCGTACGGTTATGTGCTTAGTCTATGGGAGAGTGTTTCATTACAGGAACAAGGGAAACACAAAGCATTGTCCTCGGGCGCATAGACTTCAAGACTGTATGTGTTTAATTGCTAAACACATTTTTTTTCAGAGTGTTCGCTTGCTCAGCTGATGTATGTTTTGTAATTCAGCAACGAGACATGCAATGGCAGTTGCTTAATTTCTATGCAATTGAGTGAATGGAAGAAATTACCAAACAGAAAACTAACATTGGGGTTTAGATTGACCAATGGTCATGCTCATTCCGCACAGCGCGCCAATGTTATGACCGAGGTTTCCTCCGGGAAAAATTAGCTCGGCTATACATAGGCCCTTTAAGTGTTGATTACCAGGCCGGGTTTTGCGTCACAGTCCGGGGCCAACAACCTCGCCGTGCGGAGCATCGAGATGCCATTATTAATATCATGTTCCATGCTCGTGATCTAAGGCAGGCTTCGTGTTCTGTCATAATCATTAGCCTGGAAAACAACACCGGTTTGTTTACGCTGGATTGCAGATTCCGAAGTCCACACACACAAAACTGCGGAGTGGTTATTAGCCAGGGCCTTTTAGTGCACGGCAAAGGGAAAGTGTTCATCATATCGGGTTTTTTTTTTTTTAGATACCTGATTTCAATTAAAAATAGGGCCCGAGGAATACGTTTATAATCGACTTTCCTGTCTTCTAGCTTAAGGAAACGACATTTGTAGGTCTCTGTGGGTCGTGCTATGTTTATGACTGTACAGTCACAAGCTGCCTGGACGCTTTCATTCGATGAATTAGTGAAAATAGGCCTATTCCTAACCAACCTTGGGGCCTTTGCATGATGATTTCGTTTACGGGTGGGTTCGAGACACAACTGGTTCAGGGAAACAAAGTATGGGACATTATTTTACAAGCTTCTAAAATGCCATAACCGATGCCCAAATATAAACAATAAGCATGCCATACCGTATATGACTGCGTGTGCTTCGACTTCCCCACCACCTTATCCATGGTGGCCGCTAATCACCCTCACAAAAAAAACACTGTTTGGAAGGAAACGGAACACTACCTTCGCAAAACATTTTGAGTGGGTCACCTTCATTATAAATGTACGTACATTCCCCACATGCGGAAGTATTGACCCTGGGTCACTAAGTAAACAAAATCCGTCCAATGAGAGCTCAGAGAAGTTATTGCAGGTCACCAGCACCCAGGGCGGTAGATTCGGATTCATGAAGTGCGCCCTCTTTTGTCTGAAAAGCAGACAGAGACCTAAATCCCCGTTAGACTGGATACAACACACATACAAAAGGTTCTGAGAATGAGAAGATCAGAGGGATCAACTTTTGAAGTGTCTTCAATTTTCGCAGCGCACTTATCGTCACGTGTGCTCACATGACGGACTTCGATACTTGAGATACCGAAAATGTCGAGAGTCGTATAATCCTTGCCATCGAGTGATCGAAGTAAAACGAAGCCATGCAGCAAAAGGTGTCAGCGGCACGAACGACAATGAAAGGAAAACACCATCAACCCGAAAATGGTTTTCATCAGTTAGTGACAGGAGGATTAGTCCCGAACCACCTCTCAGAGCAAGCCATTCTCTTAAGAGAAATCCTCCACGGCCATTCGGCTAACACCTTCAATAAATCCTTCACTTTTCCCACCTTTTTATGGCTCTGCTGATAGCGGAACGGGATTGCAGTGTCATGTCTTGCCTGGAAACGAATGTTTTCTTCGTCGTGGATTTCATGCTTAATCTCAACTCCATTTTAGGAGGCTCTGTGGGGGAGGAAATCCGGGGCTGAATCTGTAAACACGAAAATGATTCAAATGCCTCTTGTTAGATACCAGAAGGTTTGCCGTTCAAAATACTGTGTTGACTTCTACTGAGTAGTAAACCTGTGGTTCAGTTCATATCGTGAGAACGTGTACCTAATCAGGGCTTAGCATTTGAGGTATTAATCAAAGGTATAAGAACACTGGTCGTAGTTTTTCATGCTCATGCATGCCTCGCAATTCACTTGGTCCATTTTGTTTCTTTGATTGGCATTGTATTTATCCGGATGTTGTTTGTAGCCTGAACATCCACTCGCACAAAAATAACTAAACAAATTCCTTGGTCGGAATTTGAACCAGCGACCTCCGGGGGTCGTAGGTTCAAACCCCGCTCCAGTCAATTTCTTCCTTCAACCTTAAATTCATTAAAAAGTGAGCCTAGACTCAATTTCCATCTGTAACTTGATGATCTGAATACGAACTTGTGATGTACAATGTTTGCAAGGTGGGAAGAAAAATGATTACAGGAACGACCTCGTTGGGTTTCTCTGTATCTCACCAAAGCCGTGCGCCAGCTTTTCCTTGCTCTCCTTATTTGCTCTCGTCTCTGTCGTACACGCGGACCGGTCAAACAACTGCTAGCTCTTCATCGAGCCCTAAGACAACCGCCTGGCACTCTAAAAAAAAAAAAAGCCTCGACGTTGTTGAAACACAACCAGCCCTTCGTCTGGAGAATTTATCAAGCGGAATTGAGATTGCGTGGTCGGTCGCTCGGGTCAGGTAATTCTGAAGATGGGGGCATTGTGCTGACACCAAGCGTTATGGGAGGTTTTAAAGCGATTTTGTGCAGACCAATCAATGGATAGTCCCTAGTCGTATCAAACATTACAATGCGCTCAGCTTTGTTATCAAGTTCGGTTGAAATTAAGCAGCCTGTGGGGTATCTGTCTTGCTAACAATTTCACAAAAAGACTAGTTTAAATACCGCACTCTTTCAGTTGATTATGGTAACGATGACAACGAATGGTTTACGCCAAGCTTTTGCCTGCAAAGTCTAGAAGTCAACATGAGGCCAACACAGGGCATTCAAGGGGTCCGTTCCCATCTAGCACGTACCCAGGCTGATTTTGAATCATACTCATTGCCAAGAATTAACAACTTTATGTTGACGTCACTGGCCAGCTACGACGTGATTGGTTGTCGAGCGAGCAGGTCAATGCATGAAGTTCAAGTCCCACTGACAGTCTTTGCCTCTGTCAGGGATTGAACCAAGCGTGAGCCACAAGCACTGCACTACAAAAAGCATATTTGCTTTCAATGTGACCTCAACTGGCCTTATATGGCGCCCTCTCGCGGGTCAAGACCATTTTTGTCAGGATAATGATATACTTTCCTTATAAAAGCTAATTATGCATCGACCCGAGCAAGTTAAACGCTGCATTCGTAACATCCGTTCTTTTTTCAGGGTTATGTCAAGCATTTTCTCGCCTTTTTTGGGTTTGTTTGTCCCGTGACGTAGATTCTGTTTTAAGCGCCCTTTACTTTCCTCGGATGTTGACCTTCCACTCGATACATGTCATTCGATCAGTCTGTTATTGGTTTTCAGTGCGTGAGCCGAGTTTCAATACGAAGGAATCGATACTGAGAAATGCGTTTGACGGTGTAGCATGAATTTAGGTTTTATGAAATACGGACTCATTGGTGGTATTGCTCATGCTCATGTATAGATAATTAGGAGAGGGAACGGTCACGTGAGAGGGTTTAACCAATAAAAGGGAAAAAGAGTCTGATTTTTATACGAGTCCGATTTTCACTGTGACAACGGCAGCGTTTTCTGCAGGCGTCCAGATATTTTCTACTGAGCAACCCATGATTATATTCGTATTTGTTTTCAAATTGCAGTTCACGCACAAAGCCTTGAACCTTGGAAACAAATGGAGCCAAAGCATCGCAGAGAGTATATTGTTTTCCGATATGGGTGTCAGTTAATGATGATAAGAAATCGTGTGACTCGATGAGGGCGTTACCATGATGAGTGAGCATGCGCAATCGAGGATGTTTCTTCCGAGTCCAAAGTCTATAGGGGGCGCAATTCCAAAGGCTATTAACAAACCAACAATATGTCGCCCTGTCGACGACTTCGTGTGTCGACTATAGTTAATGGATGCGTTGTTTTATGGAAATTCCAACTACATGTAGTTCCTGACCTCGTGCTTCGCCGTTGGTGGCGCTTTGGTTGCATGCCAGTTGCAGTCAAACTGACATTGATCAGCGTGAAGATATTACTAGACGTGAAAGTTTGGCTTGTTTCCTTCACCCACAGAAAAGACAGAATCCATGTAGTACAAGGAGCTTCGATCGATCTTGAAGAGCTGCAATATACCCGTATGCTATTGGGATGTGAGGTATGTATTAGTACAATTTTTTTAAGAAGTATACGTTTTTAAGAGCTAAAGTTTAGATTAAGGTGGTCTTTAAGGGACTTTCCAAGATGCGTTATTGGTGGAAGTTTAGAAAACTGCGTCGTAAACTACTGAACTTGGATTTCTTGGTGATGCAGGGAAGTCTCGATAATTTCTGAGTCTCATGCTAGGCACATTCACAGCAATATTTGCTCAGTTTTTGCCGTTATCAAAACATTGCACGACGTGATGCGACTCCCCCGACATCTATAATGCGAAAATCTCACGCAAAGTAATGAAAAAATCCCAAGATAGGCCTACTGCCGTCTGTTTTTCTGTCAGGGATGATAATAAGACAAGAAATGGACTAGCTTTTGGTACTTATCGGGTTTTTTTTCATTTGGCACGATTTCTTTACTGACGTAATTGGTTCTTCAAGTTGCTGTGGGTTTTTTTTTTCAGTAGAATCTATCATATTTCTTTTCGCGGTAATTACGCGAAAACAGCAATTTTTCAAAGTTCACTAATTTTTCTAGAAAGTCATATCTTTATGGGGGAATTTTAAAACGAAACATGACATATCCGTGCCTTATCAAGTGATTTATGATATCTTTTCATGAAATGTTTTGTTGAGGAGGGTGACCAGAAATTCTTTTTCAAAGTGAGTGACAGCTTTAATTCTAAAAGAAAAGGGGATCTTTATTTGCTTCTGTAACTCAAGAGCACCCAAGGGAGCAGCGAAACATTGACTTTTAAGTACATTATCCGGTCCACTGATCTCCAAACCATGCGTGAAGAAAACGATATGACTAGAGGTCACAGGGAACAAAAAGAGCCATGAAAGGTGTGCCAATGCTCCAAAAACTTGATACATTACCTATACAAATATCCACCCGTTTGCGGTTATTGCGAGCGTTGTTGAGGTATACCATACCGCTGAGCTATACTGTACCCGGAATACCCGAAATATAATCACCGCCCCAAACATTGGGCCGTTTGGGCCTAGAGGTGCGCTCCCAGTTCCAATCGCGGTAACTTCTGAAATCTTATCCTTGAAAGTCAAACCTCATCAAAATTGACACTATACCAGGACAATAGGGTCTTTTTTAGCGTCTGGAAACGCCGGTGCTACGCGAGGGGCTCTTGTGTTCGTTGGGAGGTATTATTTGATGACATAAAACATGCTGATGTCGCCGCGGGAGACCTTTGTTCAGAGTTAGTTTTGATCTGACGAGTTTGCCAGTTGGTGTTAAAGAGCTAACCACCTGTAGTGAAAACAAAATAACGTCTATTTCCCCCCGAAAAATTAAAATACTGATTTTCTAAAACTAAACAAAAAGTTACAATGAATACAACTAGAAAGCACTTAGAGAGCGCAAACCTACGCCAAGGCTAAACAGTTTCCCGCCATTATTGTCAGTACAACCAAAAGAAAGACTTGCATAAATGGTGAATTATCCTTTAAAACAAATCCTGGATCCAGACCTAGATCCGGATCACTTCCAGAATCTAATCGGTTTGTACTCGTACCAAGGACCCTTCCTTAAAAAAAAATCAAGCAAATCCGTCCATAACTTTTTGAGTTATCTTGTCAATAGACAAACCAAGCAATCAACCAACTAACCAAATCCGATGAAAACATAACCTCGGGATGATTTCGAATTTGTGTAAAGAGCGTACAATTTTACCTTTCAGAATATTCAAATTATTCCTGATGTTTGGATCCTAGCAGGATCTTGAAATGAGAGTGTTCCAACAATCGTCTGCGTGTCGTGAAAGACCGAATATTTTGTGCAGAAAACTGCACGGAAGGTATAAGAGCCTATGACATCACTCTGTACTTCACAACGAACATTTGCGAAAATGTCGCTGCTATATATTGATATGGGAAATCTGTAGAAAATTGTGACAGTTACAAAAGACTGAAGAAATTCTCGGGATAATGTAATTCATTCTAGAAAGAGAGAAAATGAGAAAGGATAAAAAAATTCAAGAATATATACAATTTTATTAGTATTATTACGTCAGGTCAGGAGGAACAAAAACTCCACTTAATTTGGCGAGTATTACTCCGCACCATTATTTCAATATTGAACTATTTCATTCCCAATACACTGGCTTGCATGTATACCAAGTTAGCATTCTTCGAAACTGTTTCAGTGTTGTGGAGTTTGTCAACGGTCTCAAATGTTAGCCTATCTCCCCCCCCCCCCCCCCCACCCGCCCGAGATCAGGCGAGGGTCTCGAGACCTTGCTGTGGGCTATTTGTCTAGCAGTAATTTGTGGTATTTCAGCAAACTGTAAAAACCATAATTTCAGGTGGTAACTGTCAAAACTAATCCTTTCAAGGAGACCAGAGGGTCAATTTTTTCCCGGGGGAAATTCCCAAGGGATATTAGGAGATTATTACGACTTAACACAGTGCAGGTTAACCAAGGAGAGAAAATGGGAACCACTTATTGTTGAATGAGATGGAAGAACCATTTTTGTGTGTGTGAAACCACATGTTGAAATTCAAATACCAGAAAGTTCGCCCTTTCCCGTTTCAGAAATGGACGATAAATTTAAAGGAAAGCTTTCCCGACCTACAAAAGAGTATAGTTCGCTGGCATGAATGGTAATTTTCTGGTGACTTGTAAAAACAGCTACTGATTCAGTAACTCATTAAGTCAAACAGCGACAAAATAATGTGACAGGAATATTTAGGATTGTGTGCGCATGCTTCTTGACATCAGTGCAAGCCTATGAAGGTGGTAGCTGTATATTATAAAAAGTATTGCTGGAATTAGGGTGTTTTTTTTAAATGAGGTGGAAAAATAACATACAACATTACAGAAAAGGAATATCGACAAGCAAGGACACTCAACACAAGCATTAAGTCAACGCAAACATACATCGCAAAATAATATTTAAAGGCCACAGGGTGATTGTTCGTTGTACTATGCACGCACCAAGCCGTAATACATCTTTGTAAGATTCACGTACCGATGACAACAGCATATGATAAATGACCGCGGGGGCTATTCCTCAAAAACATAAATCAAAATTAAATACTCCTTGGCCTTGTAAACTGTCGCGCAATATTGATGAATATCAACATGCAACAAAAGCGCGTCCAGATCAGTTTCTTTAAGCCGGCAGGCTTGAACTTCCGTTCTCCCTCATCGGGCTGGAACCAATTTAATTAAGTGGAACCAGAAGAGAGAAAAAAAGTAAGATTTCAAGGGCTATTTACCAGATAATGTTTTGAAATCGGAGATTTTACTGTCATGGCTTCTTCCTCTTGTTGCCATAGTGTTAAGCACGGCTTTTCTTCCATCATCATTTTCTTTTATGCGAGAGGCTTCATTTCACCTCCCCGACCACAGGGTCAAGAAAGACTGGTTATTGTTGCTCTTTTGGTGCGATTTATATTGTCAGTCTTGGAATTCCGTTGCCCGGAAACAAAGATGAAGAGATGTTTAGAAGTCGGAAAGTAATCGATTCCATCTTGCGCATCGATATCTTCCTTTTCATCATTCATGCACAAAATAGAATTCGAAAGCTTCATGACATAGTGGATAGAGTATCTCATTCTAAACTTAGTTGATAGTATCAACTAAGTTGATGCGTTCCGTGGTACGGTCACTTAGTGAATCAAGTTAACGGCCAACGTGACGGTTGAGCGCTTTGTTAATGATTACCTTGCTCACGTGAATGTGCAACTAATCACATTTAACTATAATCTCATTAAATAACATTTACGTGTACTTCTGTCATTAATCTTCTGTCATTTAGAAATATTTCGGTTTCCTTGAATCGTTATAAGACACGTTACTACAACTTGAAGGTTTTGTGTTGATATGATTTTAACGTGGCGCTTGGGGCCATGATATTGAAGACACGAACGACGAATGTGTGTGTTTTTTTCTTAATTTTACCAAATTCGCAAACGAAGAGTTTCCATTCTACATGTATTTGTTCTTTTCGTCAGACAGTTGCATATGAGTGCCAACTATTTGTTCGAACGTGCAGACGTGATAGCAACAGACGAATTTGTTTTCCGCAGTGGGGAAAAAAACTTTAATCCAAGATAATGCATGACCGAAAAAACTACGCAGCTCTGTTCTTGTTGAGTATCTTTCTCGTCGGTTCGTGCCACTGCGGCCGCGACGCCATCTTGGGCAGACACAGAGTGATTAAGAAAAGGATGGATGGGTCCAGAAATAGTTCCCTTATTTTTTTCTCTCTCTCTTGGTTTGTGTGCTCAAGAAGTTGAAATGAACACTAGTGAATGCTGATGCACGTATAACCATCGCCCTCGCAGTAATCGCAGTCCCAGCTATTACCCTCATCTGCGCTGAAATTGATTGGAGTCGTGTTGCCGACGGCTGTTGCGTGTGGGAGAAACCAGGTGTCGTAGGAAATGTCGACACCCATTAAACTCAGTCCCTTTTACACGTAACTTAATCATCCTAGCTCGCACGTGACTGCAAATTGTTAATGTTCTTGTACACCGAAACATGCGCAATACGAACGATGAGTCCTTTCAATGTGGAGTCCAACTTCCCCGACTAACCGCAGATAAAATATTTTCTTAATGTTGGATTTCTCTGATTATACATTTAACCTATATATCGTTGTAACAAAAACCTGTAACATCAACGTAATAATGTGTTAGACAGGTTTTCTGTCTCGGCATCTAAAATGGTTCAATCATGGAGGTAGTTTAATGACTTCTGATTCTACCGCCATGGTTCATTTAAGGCTACCTTTTCACGCGAGTGTAGGGTCTTCGAACAAAATTGGAACGTGTCAGCATTGAAACATGTTGACAATAACTTCAAGATTGTCTATGTGCAGTAGGCCTATACCTCTGTTGGATTTGTTGCCCTGCTCCCGAAACTAAAAAAAAAAACAATCCAATATTTAGACGTTACTGCAAGAATTACGAGATGATAAACCAAAAGTAAATTCTGTGGACAGGAAATGGCAGTATGGAGCAGGCAGCGAACTTTGTTGTG